ATGTTTGTGAAGGTCAAAATGCTTTAACTTCTCATCATTTTTTAACTTCAAGATTGAATTATATACACGCGTGCATAGCGTACACAAGAAATATATTCCTCATTAAGAGCATTTTGGTGCATATCTATTAGCCTCCTATGTTTAGTAACATCGTTTCAGAACAATGTGTAAAATAATGTGCACTTTTCTAATACACTTTTACGTATAGATTAAATAATTTAACATTTTATCATATAAATGCAGATATTCTACTTGGTTGGATTTGCTTTGTTTTTCTTGAAAACATTTCATAGGTTGTGGGTGATTTAGGTAAGTGAAGGAACTTTCTTCTCTTTTCTCTTTATTTGTGTTCATAGTGATGGTAACTCTTTTTCCTTGTATTTATCTTCTTCTTCATTTAAATATTTTTTATTATTATTATTATTATTATTATTATTATTATTATTATTATTATTATTATTATTATTATTATTATATTACTTAAAGGAACAGAAATAACCTTAGCATAGCATATAATTGTGATTAATGATGCGTGTATAATGTACCAAATTTCTCAAGATAAAAACCTCATGTACTATTGAACTTCAATTAAAATATACTTAACACATTGAATTGACTTTTCCTTGTAGAAATTTACATTATAATTCTTGGATTGCATAATCACTGTACATTTGCGTAAGAGGACCTTCTTCAAAATGACTTTAAACCAATGTTTGAATTGAACATAAATATATATTATTATTGCTTTGTGTGTATATGTGTTTATTAATAACCTATTTCATTATTTTTTAACAGAAGAACATATTCTAATCCATTTCTGATGTTTGTGAAGGACAAAACGCTTTAACTTCTCATCATTTTTTAACCTCAAGATTGAATTATGTACACTCACGCATAGCATACACAAGAAATTTATTCCTCATTAAGGGCATTTTGGTGCATATCTATTAGCGTCCTATCTTTAGTAACATCTTTTCATTACAGTGTGTGAAATAATGGGAACTTTTCTAATACAATTTTACATCTAGATTAAATAATTTAATATTTTGTCATATAAATGCAGATATTCTACTTGGTTGGATTTGCTTTGTTTTTTCTTGAAAACATTTCTGAGGTTGTGGGTGATTCAGGTAAGTGAAGCAACTTTCTTATCTTTTCTCTTTATTTGTGTTCATAAAGATTAAGGATTTGTAGGTTGCTGATTCTCCCATCTATCAAAATAAATATTATTATTTTATATAAATTTATAATTTATATAACTTCGTCATATATTATGGGCATTAAAAATTTTGAATTGAAACAGAAAAGCAGACACTTCTTGTTTTTGCTATGCATGCTTTTATTTAGTTTAAATTTTAATTTTTAGACTGAAGCACATTAAAAAGCTTAGTGTGAAATTTGGATATGTGAATTTCTTAGATTTCAGATAAATTTAGGTATGATACTTGTATATGTGTATGTTCTTAGATTTTAAATAAAAATTTCTTAGATTTCAGATAAATTTAGGTATGATACTTGTATATGTGTATGTTCTTAGATTTTAAATAAAATTAGGTATGATATTTGGATATGTGAATGACTTGAATTCTGAGATTTTTGCATCGATCACCACTACATATCAATTTTTACCAATTCACTGAAAGTTGCGTCTGATTGAGTTGGTTTTAGTATTTTAAGTTCATCGATCCTTGGATATCTACCTTCACTGAAAGTTGCGTCTGATTGAGTTGGTTTTAGTATTTTAAGTTCATCGATCCTTGGATATCTACCAATATGGTTCTTCCAAAATTTTATTCATTACCTTCTGTAACATTACAATCTATAAATACATTACATTCAACTCATTTAACTGAAAATAAATGTAATTAAGATAGATAACTGTTTACAAACCCTTTAACTATTGTAAATATAACAAAGTTATCATCATCTTTCATTTCATTAACTTAACAAAGGTGCCCCTTTTGTTACTCACATCCATTCCATCTGTCTCCACCTCATCAATTATCGGTTATCAAATTGCAAATATGATAATTGTTGTCATCAAGAAGCTTATTATTATCCTCATCAACCACAAACCTTCTCTTCAATCTTCTCCTCAAATATCAAATTTTAGGCGGAAGGATTAAGAAGTGAACAAATTGAGCAAGGTTTTTATAAGAGAATAAAAATGTGTTGAGTCCCAAAGAGTTCTCGAGGGGATTGAGGTGAGTTTCTCTTTGATATTCTGTTTCCTGTTGTCGAAAATGAATCTTTGCTGGGGTCCTATCATTTTTTTTTCATTTTTCATGAAAACGTTGTGTTGGGTTTTAGATATATATTGCGTTTTGTTTGTTTTAAATGCCCATCTATGTTTCTACCGTGGGTTTTACATTGGTATTAAAAAAGTTTAATCTTGTGCATATTTGCATTACATCTAGATTGGAGGCATTTCAATTATTTGCATTGGATCATGGGTTGCAGATTTTGTATATTTACTGATTTTGCTAATTGATTTGGTATATGGATTTCATGAAACTGCTAAAATTGGGGGTGACATACTTGTTGTGTTTCTCTTGTAGTTCTTGTGTTTACTGCTTTTATTCTTTGTGTTAATTGTGTTTTTCTCTATTTTCTCTTGTCAAGAGCTTGAAACTTTGACTGCATAAAGTTTACTGCTTCATGGTGAGTTTGATCATTGAGAAATGTAAGTAGTTGTATTGTTGTGAGAAATATAATGATTGAGTTTATGCTAACGTCTTTTCCTAAATATATTATGAATAGGGGGAATAGGCTCCACAATATCTCATAGGGAACAAAGATAAATTTCAAGCTGTTGGGTATGATTCAAAGACCCAAGGCTATCAGACTTCCACCAATGTCGGCGATAAGATCGTAAAGTCATGCGATTGACATCTTTCTATGGTTTTGCTGCATTATGTGGTAAATAAATTGCAAGATCTTATTGTGTCTACTTTCTTTGTTCAGCATGTAATTGGAGGATTTGAGGAATATGCTGGCTCATAGATTGGTGTCAAATTTTTGATAAGTTGACAGGAAAATGGTGAGATTCAATCTCAACTAATTATTGCTCCTTTGCTACTTTAGCATATAGTGTTTGATTGTTTAAATTTTCATGGAATTCACAGGTCTTTTCCTAGTGTATTGGGTTGTAACAACCGTGAATTTTGATACGTATTTAAATAAAATTTTCTCGTATTTAAAATATTATATTATATTTTATTAATACTTTTCCTAATTTCTGGAATTTTCTGAGTTTTCAAAATAAATAAATAATAAAATATATAGTCTTGTATTTTTAATTCTGCTAAATATTAATTTACGGTTTAGTGATTTTTATATATAATCATTTGGTGATTAATATTATTAATGACTGAAATTTTTTATTCATAACCAAAATGTGAAATATATGTACCTCAAAGACATTCCAGTGATAACTGGAAGAAACAACTATCGTGTTTTTTTACATTTGCTCAATTCTTTCCTTTATGTGGATAGGAATATCATCATTAAGGACTTTAGACAGAATTAGAAACTTCACTGTCTTGAACACAAAATCAGCTCCTTTTGCTTCATGTTGAAAGATTCTTTGGTTCCTTTCTTTCCATATAGCATAGACTGTAACTGACAGTGCCAATCTCTTAAGCTTCAACATGAAACCCTTTCCTTTCAGTTTTTCACTATACCATTGAATAACACGCTCCCAGTTGCAAGTTTTCCACCTGAAATTCATCCATTCCATAGTTCTGTTCCAGATAATAGCAGAGAATTCACATTCAAAGAAAAGATGCCCAATGGTTTCATGCTTTTGATGAGTGCATAGAACACAGGAGTTAGTGTCGAGGATCCCCAAGTGACACAACCTGGCTTTTGTTAACAGTCTAGATTGGATAGCAAGCCAAAGTATAAAGGAGTGCTTAGGATACATCCATCCATCCCAGACTGTTCTAAACCAAACAACAGGTGCATTTTGCTGTATGATTTCATTATAGATAGAAGAAATCTGAAATTTACCTCCAGAACAGCACCTTGTGATAATATTCAGCACATTTGAGATATTTCCAAACTTGGATATCATTTTATCTCTCACTTTAAGCATTTGCTTCCACATCCATGAATCATTCAATTTTACTTGCACTTGCCAGATGTTTGACTGCCTTAGATAATGCCCATGAATCCATTTGATCCACAATAGATCCTTCTTGAGGTGTATCATCCAAAGGAGCTTCATAGCCGCTGCAAGATTCCAGGCTCTAGCAGAGAAAATCCCCAAACCTCCATGCTCTTTATCTTGACATGCTGCAGTCCATGATATCAGATGTATTTTGTGATTCCACAAGAATTCAGAACAGAGATTATCAATTTTTTCCAGGACTTTAATTGGGAGAACATAATTGCTAGTCCAATAGAGCTGAACACCCAGAATAACAGTTTTAATCAGCTGCAGTCTTCCTGCATAAGACAGAGCTTTCTTCTTTTGCCAGTTTTGAAGCTGAGTAGATATCTTATTGATCAATGGATAGCAGTCCATATAAGACAGTCTCTTAGAGATTAGTGGTACTCCTAAGTATCTCACAGGAAGTACTCCTTCAGAGAAATTAAGGAGAGCACAAATTTGAGCTTTTAAATCATCTCCAATCCCACTCATGTAAATAGAACATTTGTTAGGATTTGTTTCTAATCCAGACACACAGCTGAAATCTGAAAGGCATTCTTTTAATTTTGCAATAGAGTATAGATCAGCCTTGCAGAAAAGCAACAGATCATCAACAAAGAAGAGATGGGAAATTTTCAGCCTTGAACACTTTGGATGATATTTGAACAGTCTATCTTCTTTGAGCATGCATAGCCTTCTCGAAAGATACTCCATTCCTAAAACAAATAGGTATGGGGAAAGAGGATCTCCTTGTCTTAAACCTCTAGCTCCCTCAAAATAGCCATGAAGTGTGCCATTTAAAGATAGGGAATATTTTGGAGTACTAATGCACTGCATGATCCAGTTAATCATGTTCTTTGGAAAGGCTAAATCAGTGAGCATATCTTCAATAAATTTCCAATTTATAGTATCAAAAGCTTTCCTTAAGTCAATGTTAAGAATAGCTCTTGGAGTTGTGGACTTCCTGCCATAGTGCTTGATCAATACGATCCTAACTGTAAGAAGGTTTGATCGCTCGATTTGTGTGCCTCTCGTTCATTGAAGGAATCGAGAGGAGATTTTGGTTTTGGTCCTAACTGTATGAAGGTTTGACCAATTGGGAACTTTACGTCCAGACTCTAACAGAGAGAGTGTTGAGTGCACAGACACGGTGAGAATTTGAATGGGAGTTCTTATTCATTACATTGCTGTGGTTTTGGGAACTTCCCGTTACATAAATCGTCCACCCCCAGTTTCCTCTGCGGAACTGGTTCGGACATTATTATCAGTTACCTAACCGGGTTATCCTTAAGAATATTAGCTTAATATTCTCCAGGAACTTCCCGTCAAAAGTGGGGAAACAGTTTAGACTCATATACCTATTGGAGTATGCAGGGAGCAGTTTAACCTCTTGCACCTGTTGGAGGATTGAGAAACAGTTTATACTCGTATACTCTTTGGAGTCTTGCCGTTCTCATTTGGCTTATCTTAGCGTTATGACGCCGGCTTCAACCAAGGTCTGAATGCTATTCTTGAGAGTGAAGCAATTCTTGGTGGGATGAAGGACCCTCCTGTGGTATGCACAGTACTTTGGATCCGTCGTGTTGTCAGCTTCCTCCTGATTTGTGATAGGTGGTAGCTTGATCTTGTTGCTTCCAAGGAGGGATTCGAAGATGGCTGGAACGTCTTCGTCCTTGAAAGAGTACTCTTTTTGGAGTCTCGGACCCGAAGTCTTTTGCTGTTTTCGGAGTTGCTTTTGCGACGTCTGGTTAGCGTCAACAGCTGTTGCAGGTGATTTGCCTTTGCCACGAGAGGCAAAGTTAGAATTCGGAGGCTTAGTTGTTGATTGACCCCTCTCGGCTTTCTTCCTTCGGAGGAATCGCTCAGCTTGCTCCCCTCGGACCTTCAGATCCTTCCACGTTTTGGACGGTGCTGTTCCCATAGCTTCTAATACATCTATGGAAAGATTATTATGGCACGTCTGGAGTATGAACTCCTCCGTGACCGGATCTCGGCAGTTCATTGCCTTGTTCCGGAAGCGTTTAACAAAGTTTTCCACGAGTTCTCCATCCTTCTGCTTTTCTTCAAAGAGCGTCCCGATTGACACCTCCGTGTCATCGTCGAAGAAATTAGCGAGAAACATGCTTTCCATATCGTCCCATGTAGTGATACTTCCCGGTTTAAGCCGGCGGTACCAATCAAATGCAGCAGCGCGAAGGGTTCCTACGAACGATCGTACCATTAGAGGTTCGTTACCTGAAATGATCCCCAGGTGAGACTTGAAATAAATCAAGTGTTGGGTAGGGGAGCCCCTTCCATCGAATGGTGTGAAGTTGATCAAATTGAACTTCGGTGGGTATGGAATGGAGTCCCACTCCCTCGGGTAGGGACACGGAATGCCAGTCTTTTTTACTTCTTGGGCAGACATCAAAGCATTGATTTTGCTTTCCAAGTCTTTCATCTTAAGATCTTCGCCTACCTCACTCTTCTGGCGATTTTGGGGATGGATATTGATACCACCCCCAGCGTTAAGAACGCCTTCCGTATTCCTGTTCTCGCGGGGAGTCTCCATGTTAAGATTTTCTTCTACCTCTGAGTCGCTATCTATCTGATTAGCGGTCGGATGACGACTAGATTCACCGCGCTGGTTTGTCAGCTGTTGGAGTTGTTGTGCGTGTAAATCTTTAACACGTTGTACAGCCATCTCCATTTCAATTTTGAAATCCTCTTTTTGCTTGGCCAAAGCTTCTTGAAGAAGTTGAGCCATCTGTTCTGTGGTGATCATGAACGACTCTCGAGACTGTCCTGTACTGGATACAGTAGCATCTGAAGCAATCGCTGAGTTAGCATCCGATGCTTCTTCGTCTGAGGACTGTCTTCTCTGGATCCTGTTGTAATTGTAATCCCTAGGCCTTATAGCCCCGGTTTGCAGCCGAGTTAACCGTTTGGACATTTGTGAAAAGGGCTCAGGGTTGTAGCGCCGCGTGGACTTTTCTTTTTCTGCCATATTAATCGTGAATTCCGAGAGTTCACGTTCCCGAACGGGTGGCTTTCTTTTACGGAAATGTCTTGATTTGTTTCTCTCCGTTTCTGTAGAAAGTCTTTCAAACACTGAAATCCTTTGCGAGGCAGTCTTGGAACAGTTACATTCTGCTAATACTGCCTTGATGAGTTTAGTACAAGGACAACGAGAATCCCTTTCTCGGGAGTTTCTCTTCCGAGATTTACTCATACCCCCAGTCTGATAGTACAGCTCATCGATATTATTATCGGAGCCACCTATCTTGTGTTGGCATAACCCTCTTATTCTATCATCGTCTTCTTCTGACGAATAAAGCTCTCTTTGAGGGTATATCGCTCTGTCATTATTTTCAAGAGTCGCTCGTTTGAAAACTCACCTTCGCGCGTGTGAGGGTTTAACAGAATCTCGAACTTCTACCCGTAGCCCAAGGCGAGCGGTTACTGGTACTTTCTCTGTATGAGGAGTTTTTGAGTTACTGGAGATTCGCTCCCGTCCCCCATTTTGACCAATCAAGCGGGGTTTGTTTTTATGCAAAGGGCCAAGACGATCCATAATGCTCATTTTAACTCGGGATGAGTCCACGCCGCCGTGGGGTTTTACAGGAGGTGGGGAAGTCATTGGAACAAAAGCAGGAGCTGTCGGAGACTTGAAGCTGGTCGCAGGAGGCGAAATTTCTGCAGACAGAGATGAACCAGCTCGCGGGTCAGCAATTGGTGACTCGGCCTTGGCCGAGCCAGCGTTTGGTGACTCGGCCTTGGCCGAGCCAGCGTTTGGTGACTCGGCCTTGGCCGAGCCAGCGTTTGGTGACTCGGCCTTGGCCGAGCCAGCTTTTAGTGACTCGGCCTTGGCCGAGCCAGCGTTTAGTGACTCGGCCTTGGCCGAGCCAGCTTTTAGTGACTCGGCCTCG